CTAATGAAATAATAATAATTTATTAATAATAATTAATAGATTTTCCAAACAGAACAATTTGTTTGACAATCTGTCAAACAAAATAGGAATATGGAAATAAAAGCTAATTAGTTAATATCTAAAATAGTGACTTTTATGCAGCATCAATTTGCATACTACGTTGCAAATTGTTTTTGTCAACCCTCAAATCGTGACCGTGCATTTAAGAAACACGAGAAATGTGGGTTGATGTGGGGGTGAAAGTGGAAGCTTTTTTTTAAAACCACATTTCCCAACTTTTAACACGTCTTTGAGGTCAACACGTCCTTGTGAACCAAAATTTAAAGCACATTTCAAACATCAATCTTGATAAGCCACCTAAGAAGAAGTTTCTACTGTGAGAAGAAGCCTCCAATATCCACTAGATATTTTATTTTTTTCAGGTAGAAACACAATGGCGACCCCTAGCAAGTGAACTTAGAAAGATAAATCAATTGTGTGTGTGTTTTTTTTTCTTTTTCTTTTTTTTCTTTTTTTTCTAGGTCGTAAGAGTCTAGTGGCCTGATTTAGTGTGCCGGAAACATTGTGTGCTGTCGAGCACAACTGTTGCACACAATTCACGAGAGACTCTGAAGGCATGTGAGGAACATGGTCTTCAACAAGGCTGAAATCAGACTTCCGCCATGTGCTAAATACAATTTTAGAGCTACTGTTATAAGAAATTGGAATATTAATAAACAATATTGGGATAAATTGAATAACTGGAATCGCACAAGACAGAGATGCTTGACACACAATGAGAAAAAACACCACACAAACTCCCACTACCAATAATTCACCTATTCACTTACTGAATACTGTGATTATTTTATAGAGCTATAGGCACAGTGCGTTAGATGACAGTTTTCGAGTATGGTATTTTAAAGAGTTTCTAGAGACTGGAAAGGACCGTCTTTGTACCTTTAATAACTCTCGAGTCTTGAGTTAGTTTATGGAGGTCAGAATGGAAAGTGCAAGGGTGAACATCCCACCCTATACAGTCATGATTTGAGTGATTCTTACTCACGAATTCTCCAGAAGCCTTCACATTCCTCTTTTCTGCTCTGCTCCCCTCCGGCCACATGAAGGATCTGCTAGGTCCATGTCCTTATCATGTGCCTATGACATAAGTTCAAACTGCTTATTTATGTTTATTTATTTGTTCAAATAAAATCAACATAGTAGTACATGCGGGGGGAGAGCAACACATATATTTTTACCAAACAGTAAACAGCAGAAAATTCAGCAAAATCTGCAATAAAAAATAACATCTTCTCTGACTGGGGGATCTTTCCTTTCATCCATTTCACAGGCACAGGATTGCATTATCAATGGTTTCTCCACAAAATAAAGTAATTAAATACCACAAATCTGGGTATTATAAATCTGGTGTAAAATTGATGATGTAAAAAGGGCCAGTGTATAAGTGAGATGTCAGTGAGCATTGACAGAAGATCCAGTGAACACAACATGCAGCTCAAGCAGCAGATGATGAGTCTCGCAGCCAACGGCATCATTATGTCAGTGATGATCATGGGGACGAGTGAGTATGTGAGATGCTATACTTTTAAAGCCACACTATGCAGCTCTGATGTTTTTGTGAAACAGCGACCCCTAGAGCCGCTGTGGTGTACTTGCACTGTCGTAAATAATGTAACTCCCCTGTTACTGCAGTCTACTGATACTACTGATGATGCTAATAGGTTAATAATAACAATATGTCAAGTGTTAAACTACTTTATAATAATAAAGTTGCCTATCGCGTTTGCTGGCTTATAACATCTTCACATGATTTCTGCTAGATCACAAGTATATAGCCTATAGAGTAGGACTAATGAATAATTTCATTAATAGGATCTATCAGAAAGAGCAGACATTTCCAATATACTAATGCTTTGTCTAGTCTTTTTCTCAGACTGCAGAAGATGAACAGCAACACATCTCAACACCTCTCTCAACATCCTCCCCTTAAATACTCTAAAGATGTTTAGATGGATTAAGAATTTTGCTGAAACAGTTAACTTGTTGAACATGCTGTGTATGTTTCATGCTATTTATTGTGATGTAACTTATCAGTGAATTGATGTGTATATTCATCAATATGTACAGTATTTGCCTTTTCAAGAATTTGACTAATGAAAGCCATTTATTATGTACTGTTTACAATCTATGTTCCTATGTAAGCCAGGATTAGTTAATTTAGGATATTTAAGTGGGTTTTGCTGAGTCTGATGTTGATGATTTCTGCAATACCAACGCTACAGACTCAGATCTGGGATTAGCTTTGAAATCGTTTTAAGTTAACGAGAGGTTTTGTTACAATGTATTCCAGCAGAGGTGAAATGAACTGAATACATTTGGTGGTAATGTACCTTAATAACCACTGAGAAATGTAGTCCCATTATGATAAAACATTTATAGTTATTATTCATAGTTGTATGTTTTATTCATAGTTTATATTTTGATTACCTCTTTTTAGAGCTTAAGCAAAACTGCAGTGGCAAGGTTGTAAAGTTAAAGGAGAAATAGCCTCGTTTTTGTTTCACCTCTAGATGGCAGCATTCTCTATCATTGCTGTCATTCTCATCAACTGACTAATAAATCAGTTTTGTGTATAGAATCATCATAATACATAAAGTTAAATAGTCTCTCTTTTTTCTCTTTAATTATTCTCCTATAAAACTAAGTTACAGCAATGAAGCTCTTAACCTCTTTTAGGACGACTCTTCTCCTGAGCCGCGTAGAGTGGCACTCAATACGACACTATCAACTTTGAGGAGGATCTCAGGATATGAGATGAACACAGCCTTGAATGCCAAAACAGAAACAGATTTATTTTTTCTGAATTACTAAATCAACTGCATTTAAATATGAAAATGAACACGTGTTTTTCATCTTGATTTCTCAGATTGAATTTAGGCTATATATATATATATATATATATATATATATGCCCTGCAAAGGCCAAAGACCTTAACTCGCTGAGTGTGAAACTGAGAAAAATTACTTTAAGTTTCTGTTCAGACAAAAGTATTACAGGTTGGACTCCCAACAGTATAATGAAGAAATGTTTGTATGCCAAAAACTTGAGCTCAAAATTGACCTTTGACCCTTGTTTGGCAGTTACTCTGCCTTTGTATCATGTGCCAAAAATAAGGTGGCAGCACTCTTTAACATCACAAGATTCCATTCCACACTTATAGATCAGGGCCCGTATTCATAAAGATTCTAAGAATCCTCTCAGAAAACTCAAATTTAGCTTAAAAACTTTTACGAACGAGTCTTAACTTGAAAAGAGCCCCTATCATAGCATTTGAAATGTTTGTATTTTTGTTTTAGGTGTTCCCAAAAACAGTTTAACATGCATGCAAGGATAAAAAAACACTTTATTTGTCTTATAATATGTATTTATTTTTAACTGATTTGCTCACCAACTCCCAAATGATTCGTACAACGACTCATTTTTCCAAACCACTCCTTTGCGTGACGCTAATCGGCGGTGATTGGTCAGATGACAGACCTAGTCAGTTATTGTTTGTTAGCATAACGCATAAACATATTGATAAAGCAGTGCAGTACTACAAGACGCTCTATTCTTTATGACAACTCCAATAACAGCTACAAACATTTCACATATTTTTAAAAAAAATGACATTGGAGACCTAGAAGATGTGCTGAGCATAACTTACACACACACGTGCACACACATACTTACTACGCCTTCCCTTCTCGTGCCCGACGCTACAAAACTGTTCAAAACCAGCCCATTCTCACCCCCAAGGCGTCACTTAAGAGACGCCTTGGGAAGCATTTGGACATGCTTCAATATCTGACGCTTTAGGCGCCCTTTAGCGTCAGTTAGATGACGCCCTAGGATCGCGTGTACCCTACCCCCACCCCACACCTAAACCTAACCGCGTCCTCTAACTGACGCTTTCCTTTAGCGTCAGTTAGATGACGCCGTAGGATCGTGTCATGTAAGTGAAGGGTGCCTAAAGGGTGCCTAAAACGTCAAATATTGAAGCATGGTCAAAGGTGACGCCTTGGGGTGAGAATGCGTTGTCAAAACCCGTAAAAGCAACAATTATTAATAATACTTACAGGTTGTGATTCGGAGGAGGAAGCTGATCCATATACACTGGGTAAGTAAGTTACTGAGCCCTCCTTCAGGAACAACCGCTTGCGAATCCACATTTGAATTCATGTATGTTTTTGAACGATTCGTCATTAAAACGATGAGAACACAATCGGGCTATATGTTGTGGTATCGTTGCAAATATGAACTCTAACCACTGATTCTTCACATGCTCGTCCCTGGTAAATGAAAACAAAGTGGCTGAACTATATTGCTTTGTAGAACACAGCGTCTTCTCGACATGATGCTATGATGAAGTATTTGAATGTTTAGACTTCAAGTTTACATTTCCGTCTGCGCGCGCAGTAACTGGGCGCGGCCATTGACCTCTCTACGTCACAACGAACCAGCTAATGACTCGTTTCAAAAACAATTCATTTCATAGACTCAGAGTCGACTCTCACTTTTGAAAGACAATAACTTTATATACGGTGCACTTTCAGATATAAATCTTTGCAGGATGTTTTCATTCCCTTAGAGATATTCCACACCATATGAACAGTCATTTTCAAAAATCCATGATAGGGGCTCTTTAAGAGCGATCCGGGACCGATCTGAAAGCAACTCTGAGTAAAGAAAAGACAAAAGCTGTCATCAGCTGAAAAGACAAAAGTTGAAAATTGGGTCACCTGTACTTAGGCCTGCTGGGATTGATAAGGGCAAAGTTGAGATTTTGACATTGTGCTCTGATGCATCAGAAGCTCACCCTTTTATACAGAGGTGTTATGGGTTATTCTAAATTACAATGATTGTTTTGTAAAGTAATGGTGGCCGTCAACTCTCAACTGGGTTTTGTTTTTTAAGTGTCGTACATAGATTTTTTTTTTTTTACTTCAGTTTTTAATGCTTTTTTTCAGTATTGCTGTTGAAGACACTCTGTACAGTACCTCACACTGAATTATACATTTTGTGTGATACAAAAGTGAGTACAAAAATATAGAATACAAGAGTTTGTCATTGTCAAGGATGACTAGTCAGAAAAGAGGATAATTAAAAGAATCTGCCATCATATTGTTGTTTAAATGCTTATTTTTCTTCAAATGCTTTATGGGCTGTGGGTGGTGGTTCTGGGATTCGTATTTTTCAGTCCAACAGTGGTGAGGCGCTGAGATCTCTTGTCTGACAATTTAGCTATTTTGGACCTGTGAAGAAAATATAAATTCAAGTCAGTGTTATTTTGGCCATCATAAAATAACAAATCAATAAGGAGTCTGTGACACTATTTACTGCTCAGTGATCATAAATGTTACAGTACCTTGAATGTTTCAATGGTAAATTTGCCACAAATATGAGGTGACTTGTTTTAAATGTCACACACTCTGTCCTGCTTACCTCAGACGTGCCAGCGCTGCTTTCACCCACTGATCCTCAACGCTCGCACACACCTTCTTGTTGGTCTTGGTGAAGAAACTTAAAGAGAAAGATTCCGAAATTTGATTTTGGAGACAAACCAATGATCGCAAAACTGTTTTATTGTCTTTTGAAGATGCTGCAAGTGATAGCTACTGTAGAACTCATCTAAATAATGTATGCAATTTGAGCTTTTTTAAAAGCTGCCTTTAACTCAATTTATATATTGTACTCTACTTTTCAAAAGACTACTACTTTTTAAAGAAATTCTTTTAATTCAGCAAGATTTCATTAAATTGATTAAAACTGGACAGGAACATTTTACAGTGTTACAAATTTCTAATTCAAATCATTTGTAACAAAATATACTGAATATCATGATTTTCACATAAATCAGCAGCACAACTGTTTTCAACAAAATTCTTGAGCACCAAATTTGCATATAATGATGTGTAAAGGATCATGTGGCACTGACGCCTGGATTAATGGCTTAATTTTTAAATGAAAAAATAAATAAAATCACATTATTACACGCTTCACATTACACGTTATTATTACACATTATTAGTATACATCAATGCATATATTTTAATTCTAATTATTTTTCCAAATATATCATCAACATAAATTGAGTGAAAAGTTGATTTCAAAAATTAAAATAATAATAATTTGTTACATTTATATTATAGCACTTTTCTTGACACTCAAAGTGCTTTACATGGAGGACTCCTCAACCACCACCAAAAATGAAATAAATAAAATAAAAAAATATGTAAAAAAAATAAATAAAAATAAAATAAATATGGCATTATCCTTTTTAATTGCCATTGCATTACATGATCAAAAGTGATAGTAAGACATTAATTTACTAAAAGCTTTTTATTTCAAATAAATGCTGTTCTTTTGAACTTAATATTTATCAGAGAATCTTGAAAAAAGTTTATCCAATTTTCTCCAAAAATATAAAGCAGTCTTCGACATTGACAATAATAAGAATGTTTCTTTAGCAGAAAATCAGCATATTAGAATGATTTCTGAAGGATCATGTGACACTGAAGACTGGAGTAATGATGCTGTAAGATCTGATTTGCCATTACAGAAAGTAAAATTATAAAATTGTAATAATATTTCAAAATATTGCTGTTTTTTTAAATGCTTTTTAATCAAACAATTGCAGCCTTGGTGAGCTTTAGTGAAACATCTTACAGACCCCAAACTTTAAGGTATATTTTTTAACGTTATAATATAATATGTTATGGCAATCACCCACTTTTAACATCTTTAAAATTATGATTATTATTATTAAAAAAGTCACAGATTTTTCAATGTATCGACTGTGTGTCCTGTGTTAATGCTATGTTTTTTTGTTTTTTTTTTATCGGCTGTGTGCCCTCATATTTAAACGTATGGTTAAATAATCACAGATTTTGGTGTAACCACATTGTGTGGGTAAGAGGGTGAACCCCGACTCTCTGAGGTCAGATCACAGCGACTCACATGATGGCATCTATGCGACACACCTCGCGGGAGCTCTGCTCGATGAAGCCCTTGATCACACCGAAGGGCAGAGGTTTTCGAGTGTATTTCACACAGCAGGCATAGTTCAGCGGCCCGTCTGATGGCAAACAAAGCATCTTTCTTACAGTCAGTCATAGACCCACATAAAGTAGGTCTGTTTCTACTATAGTGCTCATTAAAAGGCATCCGAAAAGTCAACTGAATCCACAGCAATGCAATAAAACAAAGCAAAAAATGCAGACCTCATTTGTATCCATAAGAAACTTACATGCTGCTGAAGTGTGAGGAAACAGGCTCAGAAGAATGCTGCTGATGAGAGTGATGCTGACCAGAGACATCATGAAGCGCATTTCAGACAGAGATGTTTGTTATGGCAGTGCTGGGGCCTTATATTTGTGAGTGATAAGATCTGCACGTATCAGATCACAAATCAGATACAGGCTCCAAAATGGGGATGGCAACCACGGAAAACGAGGACAGGAAAGCCAATAATGCCGACATTACAAAACTTACAAAGCAAGTCCCAACCACAGATGTGCAGAGAGATCTAAGACTGTTTCCGCTCAGTATCTTGAGCAATTAGCGTGTCCCATGTGAGAAGCTGCTGTGCAAAAGCTAACTTTTGTGGTACATTTTACACTATGGCTGAATTTGTTGTGACTGATGATGCAAATTAACATCATGTGTGTAATACAGAATATTTATAGGAAAAAAAAAAACAGTTTATAATCTATTCTCATCTATTGTATTCTGTTCATTTTACATCCCATTTATGGCTAACAGCGAAATGCATGTTATCGCGTCATCTATTTTGAATCTTTTTGTTAGCTCTTTGATATTGTTTATTTTATCTGATGGTATTACATGATTGCAGGTGTGATTTAGACAATTTGAAATTGAAGACATCTTTTTGTGCCTTATCTTGAGCTACCAAATGTGTTTACCGGGGAAGTTGATTATTTTGCAATGTGAGGATTTAGCTAAACCTCTTCTTTACCATGACCCATTTAGTGGTGAGAATTTTCCCCTCTGAGCAAAAGAACAAATTAACATGCACAGCTCCGTGACCTAGAAAACATCTCAATTCATGAATCTAAACATCTAGGGGGAGAGTTAATGTAAAGATCATATATTTATTTCATCTTGCTTGTATGTGTGCCTTTGAGTGTAACACACTATTAATCATGAAATATGTAGAGGTTGTCGTCATGTGAATCGGCATTTTTGTCCAATGCTGAGTGAGACGTGGTGTGTATAACATCTCATGCAAGGTGCAAGCTGTCTGTTTTGAGCAAGTTCTATTTCTGTCAGCTGATAAATCATTTATTCTGTATATCCAGAAAATTGCAACCATAAGCAACCCTGCGGCTTTCAAAAAGGACTCTCAACATCATTATAAAGGGATTTTCTTTGTTAGTATTCTTTATTTAGTGAAAAGTTTTTATGGGTCGATAGATAAGCAGTCAGATATGGATGGTTGAGTACAATTAGATAGATGGGTATGTACAGTAGGTGGGTAGAAAGACAGGTTGAAATATGAATGGGTGGATTGACTTATGGACAGATGGATAGATGAATGTATTAATTAATATATGGACTCCTAGATGAATAGGATGGATGAATAGAAACACATGCAGATACAGATGGACAGATCATTGGAAGGACAGACAGACATATGGATGGATAGACACATAGAGTAGCCTATATACATATACAGTCAAACTAAATTTATTCAGACACCTTCAAGATTTCTCACATTATCACAGTTCATTTGCAATAGTTTAGACAATGGTAATAAAATTACAAGAACTCAGAGTTTTCAAATCAGTTGATATGGTTTTGGCCATCCTTCTGTTAGATTGTCTCACAAATGAATTAGGTTGAATAGCTGTCATCTGTGTAATTTAAGTACACTATCAGATAATACCAATTTAGGTCAACTAATTACCAAGCATTGCGTGATTTTGTTCAGTCTGTGGTGTATAAAGGTCACATTAGCATTTAAAAAAGAAGAAGAAGAAGAAAAAAAAAACACTTAAGCAAATCATAGTGTAGTTTAATATCTCAAAGTGTCTGAATAATTTCTGGTCCCAAAGTTTTATACATTTTACCTAGTCCACTGTGTGAAGATTTTTTGGTTATAACATGTTTACTTTATTTTGCTGTCCTCACACTCTAAAAAATGCTGGGTTGTTTTAACCCAACTTTGGGTCAAATATGGACTAACCCAGCCGTTGGGTTAAATTTTTACATTACATTTTTAACCCAACATTTCGGGTTTGTCCATATTTGACCCAAAATTGGGTTAAAACAACCCAGCATTTTTTAGAGTGCACTTACATAAATGAACTATAGTGTCCTGCACCCAGTAAACAAACAAACAAACAAACAAACAAACAAACAAACAAACAAACAAACAAACAAACAAAACAAAAAAAAGGTTAAAAATGATATCAGGTGTCTGAATAGTTTTTGGTTTGACTGTAGATGATTAGATTTAATGAATGAATGGATGGATGGGTGGAAACACACATGCAGATAGATGGATACAGATGATCATTGGGAGGACATTCAGACAGATGGACGGATAGAACATACATAGATAGCCTACATAGATAATTGGATGGCTGGATGGATGGATGACTAGATTTGATAGATAATTGAATGGATGGAAACACGCATGCAGAATTGGATACAGATGGACAGATCATTGGAAGGACAGACAGATGGATAGATAGATGGCCAACATACTGTACATATACTGTAATTGGATGGATGGATGGATTGGTGAATGGATGGATGGATGCAGACGGACAGATCATTTGATGGATAGATGAGATGGTGTTACAAAACGTGGTGGTAGGAAGGGTGAGATGAACAGGAAACACAACACACACTATACTAGACTATAAACGAAGGAGGAGAAGTGAAGGAGAACACAGGGTTTAAAATAAATTCACATAACAGATTGGGGAAACAAGACACAGCTGTGGCAAATGAACTGATAATGACAGGTAAACAGGTGAATTAACTAAACAGTAACGAGGAGCGGGAAAATGGAAACAGGACTGAACCAAATACACAAAGAACGAGGGAAACACATTATGTCATCATACAGATGTGGTCCTTATATGAAGGTAGATTATTTATATTTAAATTGACAGATGTTCACTTCTATAGAAGGGATAAATGTGAATGAAGATGATGTCGATGTCACTGAACATTGAGGTGTTCTGCATTAATGTTAAACTGACGCTGAGTAAACATCAGTCTGGCTCCATCTGTACGTACAGCGCAGTTGAGTTAATCTGCGACACCTTTACTCTCCCTCTCAATATCTCCACTTTTCTCTTTTTATTGAGACCTTTCTTTCTGTCTCTGTCTCCGCTCTCCCCCGCACTCTGCTCTGCAACACACGTGAATCATATTGTACGCCTCCTCTCGTCTGTGCCAGAGCGAGTGGGACTTTCTGCTCGTGCACTTCAATCTTTTCACATGTTTGCTCTCAGTCTGAATAATTACCGTACGTGGGTGCATGTAAGCTTCTCTCATTTTGATTCCTTCATAATGACCCAGTGGGAGGTTAACAAATTAATACCTCAAATGATGAATCTGGAGAGACGGAGAGAGGAAAAACCGACAAAAGACATGTCAGCTCACCAGCTCTCTCATTCATTGCTCTCCGGTAATAAATATTTGATGCTGAGATTAAAATTCATGGGGTAAATGTTACACCTGGGTCCTCTGAAGCATGAAGACAGATAGATCACCTGTCAAATTGTGAATACGCATGGGTCAGGCCTCGCATACGTTGATTGGAAATGCCTGTGAAATCACGTGGTAGCCTACAATAACTGGTACGTATTTGACCTAGATTGACCTTGAGGTCAGATGTGAGAAAGGTATTTATCTCTGCTTTTTATTCAGAATATCTGTCATTTTAAGAAAGGCACGTCCTGATTGATAGACAGACAGATAGACAGACAGACAGACATTTATCTTGGTTGTTTATTCCGAATTTAAGAAAGGAACAATTTTAATCTGCATACCCGATTTTTTTTTTTTTTAATCATAAAAAAACTTTGTCCTGAAATATAAATGACCTTCGTATGGATGCCCATATCTGCCACATTAAAAAACAAACTTTGGTGAATTCAAATTGGCGCAAATGTAAATTATGAGTGTCATAATCTTAGTAGCTATGTCATAATTTCGATGATATCTCTTAATTATGACTTAAATATGTTTTACTGTATGGACTACACTATGGACGCCCATTTCCAACCCATGGGTATATATAAAAAATAGTTTAACATTGACAGAAAGTGTCTCAGCCAGCCATCTACAATTTTAACTAGAAATCAGTCTAATAAAATGCATTTTCTTAATATAATTTTAAATTTCCTATACACTCACTGAATTGAAGTAATTTGAAATGGCAATATTTCCCTTCAGGGGGCGCCAGAGGATATGAAGATGGATTTGTTTTTCCTTGTCTTGCTTTGAATTAAAACGATTGCTGTTGTTTTCAGAAAAAGTTGTGCATTCCGCTTACTGGATACCATTTGGTACCAGGCTGAATAAAACTGTTTTAGTCATTTCCTGGTGGCATTTGTTCAGTTTTATCATCTCATGAAAAATGAAAATGCTTTTAACATTAAAATCACCTCAAAGACTTTGGCCAAAAAACTGTCTGCTTAAGTAGGAGATTTGTCACAGAGGACAGACAGAGTGGACAGAGAGCCATAAATATGAGAATAAATATCACAGCTGGCATAACGTTGTCATTGACACAATATATACCTCCCTCTCGCTCTCAAATTTGGGCAAAGCTCCAACTTTAAAGTAATCAAATATTTCTCATTCTAGGGGTGATTTTTGTAGTTTGCGATAAATTCTGTCCAATAAAGCCGGCGAGATGACAGCAATGAAGGATGTAAAGGACACCGAAAAGAATGAATGATTATTTAAGGCCCCGCTTCCTGCAAGAAGGGCCCCGTGCCAGAGACAGCACAGTTCTAACTCTATAAAAGTGTCAGTGTAGAAGTCTTTTGCAGTCCTGCATTTGCAAAGATTAGAAGTTCAAGACTGAAGAGTGAGCAAGTTTGTGTATCTAAAGCGGAACTGGAAGGCCCTATCCCAAATGGCAAACTTCTTGTTTATGAGACCATGTGAAGTCCCATTTGTCATTTTAGGTTTCATAAGGGGGCGCATGAGTTTCTTCCTAACTTTAGCAGCTGCTATGATTCTTCAGTGTGCACTTTTGCTGATAATGACATGTATGTGTTACAATGTCATAATCAACCAACTTTCCTCATTTCCTTTTATTATTAGAGTTTGATAATCATTTTTAGGGTTAGGAAATGAAAGTCAATAGACCCTTTTCACTTTTTCCTGGTTTCTCGGAAGTTGTCATAATTGGGTGAACTTCTATAGAGGTGAATAAAAACTACAGT